GCCTCTTCCGAAACCTTTTTTTTGCGTTTCAATATAGTTACTTCGTTTAATATCATACCCACAAACAATGCTCAAAAAATCAGGAGATATATGATTCTTGAAAAAATAAAACCACTTTTATGCTATACCAGTACTCGAGTATTTCGTTTCTCACGAATTAGCTATATCCGAAATGCTAAAAATATTAATTACCTTTTTGGTTGTTCTATCATACCTATACATCTCGAAAAATCATAACTTATCTTCGTCACTCTGTCAGTAGGCCAATATGAGTATTCTCGTGCTTGTAACTGCATCATGTTGACGAAAGCTGCACCCATTTTCATGAAATTCTAGGAGCAGTATGCTATGGGTAGGTTTGACTACTATATAGTTGACAGTCTACTGATTTGCCGTGGAATAATTAGTAAATACTATCAAAATATTCCCAAGCTTTGTCATATTAAGTTGCCCATCAATATTTGAAGAGTTATTTTGTTAAAATTTTTCAAATCTCATATATGTATATTTTTTATTTCTGATCATTTAAAGCCGGGACAAAGAGGACTCAATTCTTGATATGAGAGAATAGAATTACAGGGAAAGTGGTTCTCTTACCCTCCAGAAAACTGTATTCTAGACGCTAATAGAATTGGTTCTCCCCGAACTATTCTCTGGTGAAAAAGAGCGAGCGACTTGCCATCGTTCATCAATCCCATTTGTATTGACAGAGTCAACGCTCACTGATATGAAGAAGCCAGAAAGTCATTATTTTGCTGAAATTGAATGCATAAACACCTTGTAGTTGTCAGACTTTGATGTTATTCCCCAGGAAGAGAACCACTCCCACTTTCTCTCAGTAATTCGATTCCTCCATTTTCAAGGATAGGGGTCCAGGGCTTCACCATGCACGGGTATCAAAGGAAAAATTAATATTTCGCTTGGATTTTAAAAAGGCTTTTGGTTGTGTTGAATATAATTCGAACTGCGGATGGGCAAAGCACCACTTCAATGTTGATCCAAAAAGACACTTCGCTGTAACATTGAACCACTACCAAGTGCGATCGTGAGAGTACAGGCAAGGATCGATGGCTTATTTGTCGATTTGGAGAAATCTCGTTTCTCGAACATGTGTCAAGGCGTATGACTATCAACGAAACTACGTAGTTTACTGGCGTTTATGCAGTATTATCCAAAGTATAAATTAAATAACAGCATCTGCTGTTTCACTTACTGGCCAGCATACGATAGATGGATAAGGAGGAAACTTCTTTTCCCCATAAAAAACGCTGTATGTCAAAGATTTATGTAGCCTCTATTTTTGGAAATGCCTGAAAAACTAAACCGTACCGCACTATTGTCTGCAAAGTTTCTTTAACCTGGTATATCTCCTACTCTTTTGTGAACGGAACTTGCGTATTAAGACTTTTCTAATGTGTGTGTGTGTGTGGATCAGCCGCTCAACGGTAAACATATTTTTGATTCTGGAATTATTTATTTATTTATTATGATATTTGCATTCATAATGATAACTAAAAGCGCATGACCTTTGAAGGCAGCAGTGTGTGCTAGAGTTAGAGCGGGCAAAACCGTCCGGGTACCAACTGGCTCAAGAAAAGTGACATACGCAGTCCAATCTACCGAAAATAGTATAATAATACACATTTCGATGCCGATTGAAGCACGTTATGTATCGGTACCAATTTGACCTCGATGTGAAACAGTCTATACACCAAATATTCTCTAGGAGTCCAAAGGCAATGTATTATTATTATTATTATTATTTAGCAATAGCTCTTTACGGATGCTACCGTGGACACCATATATACAGGGTGGCCCATCCATGTGTGGACCGAATATTACTCACAAACAAATACATTTTGGGAAAATCTATTTATGAGATGCTATACATGACAATTGAGGACACATTTATGAAATATTGGCCATTATACAGGGTGTCTCAATTTCGACCTACATATCAAAGTTGTGATTTTTCAAACGGAATGCCTTAAATTATACTGAATATTATATATATATATATATATATATATTTGTGCAAGTTCGAATTCAGTCTTTTATAAGCTTTTGTTTGATCCCAGACATATAAGGGTTTGTACGGCTATTTTTTCGGGTATTAGCACGTCTTTATCTTAATTTCCTAAAATATCGCATCATCCTTGGAAACAAATGAATTGCTGATTAATTACAAACTGTCAAAATTAGCTTTGTGAGCATTATAATAAAAACGTGTTTGAAAATGAATTTTTATAAAGAAGAAATGGTGAATATGGTGTTTGTTTTGGGCGAAGCCCAAAGAAATAGTTTCCTAGCATTTCGCATTTACAAACAACGGTACCCTAATATGCGACATGCAAGGCCGGAAACATTTTAAACACTACGAGAACGTTTGGAATCAAGTGGAGCAGTGTAATATAGTAAAAAATGTATAACTAATCCAAGTGTCACTAATGAGGCGAATCAGTTGAAGGTTCTATTAAAGTTGCAGGAAAATCCCCATTTAAGTGCACGGCAAATTGGAGCAGAAACTGATATATGCAGAACTTTTGTCCAAAGGATTATTCACAAGCATAGGTACCAACCATCCATATCACCTAAGCTTGCATCAAGGCCTTCGTCCTCAGTATTTCGCAGCTCGAATGGAGCTTAGCAGAATGATGCTAAATAAAGTGAGAGAAGACTACTTGGATAAGGTTCTTTTTAGCGATGAGGCAACTTTTAACAGCATAGGTGCTGTCAACAGGCATAACATGCACTATTATGCGACGGAAAACCCTTACTGGGTTAGGCAAATAGATTTCCAAAATAAATGGAGCTTAAATGTTTGTGGAGGAGTTATTGGCAAACAAGTTGTTGGACCTTCCTTTTTCAACAACAGATTAACAGGTACAGAATACTTGAATTTTTTGATCGAACATTTGCCTCTGCTTTTGGAGGTTGTCAACCTACAAACTCGGATGAATATGTACTTCCAAAATGACGGCGCACCTGCGCATTCTCATAAACGTGTGCGTAACTATCTGGACACCTGGAGTAACAATCGTTGGATCGGTCGTGATGGACCTATATCTTGGCCTCCTAGATCACCAGATATGACACAGATGGACTTCTTTCTATGGGGCTACATTAAGCGAGAGGTTTGTATGTAGATATCAACCATCTACCCCGGAAAATATGAGGGAATGGATTAAGGATGCTTTTCTGAACATAAGGGAACACATGCTGAGGGATGTGCAATGGTCATTTATCCAAAGACTACGGTTGTGCTTTCAACATGGTGGAGATATTTTCGAGCAGTTTTTGTATATTAGGTCTTGAGTAGTGATAGTTGTTTGTTTATGTTGTTATAGTTGTTTTTCTCTATCAAGCTTGAAGCTGATTTATACTGTTCTGATTGTTATTAGTTTTTACGTCAAATCTGTACTCTTACTGGCAATATCGAACTAGTCCACTGTTTGTCTTTTGTTTCCATGGATGATGTGATTTTTTTCCTTAATTTTGGTGTGTTGTTCTATTAAAAGCTTGATAACTCAAAATCTAGTGATTTACCTTATACCAAAGAAAAGCTTATAAAAAATTGAATCCAAGCTTGCACAAATATGCAGCGTGATGCATTTGAAATTTTTGAGAAAAAGTACAATTCGCGTTTTTGACCACCCTGTATGAGCAGAAATGAAAATTCGAAAAAGTAACAAATAAGATAAAAACAGAGGCGTGCAAGTTTTTTTTATTACAAAATTCAGCACTCCAAATTTCAAGATGGCGGATTGAGGGTTTGCCGAAGTGGACGGTTTTTCTGGACAAAACACCTTACTTCTCAGTAGGTAATTACCAAAACCCCATAGTATGTTATATCAATCTTCTTCTTTTCAATTGGTTTCTCGAAATATGCGGGCATTCTATTTAAAAAATTATAACTTTGATATGTAGGTCAATATTGAGACACCCTGCATAATTGCCAATATTTTAGAAATGTGCCCTCAAATGTCATGTATAACATGCCATTAATAGATTGTCCCAAAATGTATTTGTTTATGAGTAATATTCCGTCCACACATGGATGGGCCACCCTGTATATATTGATGTGAACGGTTTGAACAGAATTCTGGGAGTAACTAGAAGAAATTACTTAAACAATTTATGATATGTTTCTCACTTCAGTGAAATATGTTTTTTTGCATCTTTTTCTTGTTTGTTTTTTCCATTAGATAGAATCTCCTCCTTTTTGTGTTTTCCACTTTTGTAAGTTTGATTTATCTTTTTTTAGGATTGCCCTGTAGATGGTTTCCTTGACAACAGTCCGAACAGGGCAATAAAGACTATTTATTTTTTTAGTGCCTAGCTCTCGAGTGGCGTGTGCACGCCTGAAAATCAAACATGTACGTTATCCATCGGAAACGGCCGTGGATTTACCTCTTTACTGATGACGTCAGTGGTAAACTGACGAGACTTCGTTCGACAAAGGCAATTCCACGATTATGGTACGTGTACACTGTAGAGAAAATCTACCTAGATTTTAGATTTAGATACGTTCTCTAGGTGAGACTTGTCTATGTTCTGTGTACACTATAACATATTTTGGCCCTCGCTAGACCTTCGTAGATATTTCCTAGATTAAATCTATACCAATTTCTCTATGTGGTGTGTACATAACATGGTAGATTTGATCTCGTAAAAACGTATAGGCATTATTGCACCGTAGTTTGTTGGAAGTAGTTTTAAATGTCGCGAATTAAGAAAACTGCAGCTGCCTCTGTTATTTTAATAACGAAGAAGAGAAAAAATGTTGAGCTAAAAAACAAGAAGAGAAGGATGTGGGTTAGGAGCTGGATTTCAAGAAGACAGGATAGTGGTTTTTTTGCTCAATTGGTGAAAGAATTACACAGCGAAGACATGAATTCATACGCTAACTTTTTACGCATGAGTAATAAGGACTATGAATACTTGCTTCAAAAAGTTGAACCATTGATTAGAAAACAAGATACTCATCTTAGGCTAGCTATTTCACCTTCAGAACGGCTCGGTTTTTAGCAACCGGTGAGTATTGAAAGACATGAGTTTGGTTTCTAGGATGTATTTAACTTAAAAAGCAAACAAAAACAACTTCTAATTAAATCATTTTTAGTTGTAGGAGATAGCTATCATTCCCTGCAATACCTTTTTCGGATTCCAGTCACGACCATTTCAAGGATTATACCTGAAGTTTGTGAAGCGGTATTTACTGTGCTGAAAACGGATTATCTCCAAGTAAGTAATTTTCGTAAAACTGCGTGATTGGAGGAAGGTTTGTAGTTGTATTTGTTATCGGTGCCTCTTCAAAACTTTCAACCGTATTTGAAGTTGATGGGTATGTACTCGAATGTGAATAAGTAGGCGACATTAAAGGTGTAAGTGTTCTTGATCCAGAAAACTCCACTTCATCTTCCTCGCTCATTGCAACTATAGCTTTCTGGATTATTCGTTTTAATCTTCTTTTTCGTTCATCAGAACGCAGCTGCCGTAATTCACTAGCAACATATTCACCAAATACGGTATACTCGTCAGTTGGTGTATTTAGTATGTTTTTAGCCTTTTCTAGCATTGCATCACCTTCCTACTCCGTTTTTTCCTTGGCTTTGGTTTTTGGTTTTTTCGAACCATGAGTTGTAGTATTTGATGTTGTTGGTTTTTCTATGCTTTGTAATTGAGACTCCTCCAGAAAATCTTCCTCTTGCGACGAAACCTGAAATAAAACAAAAGTAGCGAATAAGCTTATTTTTAGTTTTGTAATATTACTTTTTCTTTTAGATCCCAAACTCTCAGGAAGAATGGTATGAAGTTTAGGTGCTCTAGATGGCAAGCACGTGGTTATGAAAGCACCAAGGAATAAAGGCAGTCTTTATTTTAATTATAAAGGAACACATAGCATAGTCCTCTTGGCACTAGTTGATGCAAAATACAAATTTCTTTATGTGGATGTCGGATGCAATGGACGCATATCTGATGGTGGCGTGTATGCAATCTGTTCATTGTCAAGAGCATTAGAAAACAACATGTTAAACATGCCAAAACCAAGGCCATTACCGGGTGAATCTGAAGATGCACCTTTTGTTGTTATTGCCGATGATGCTTTTGCCTTGACTTCCTATTTATTAAAACCTTTTCCTTTCAAAAACCAACCCGGATTTAATCGGGTTTTTAACTACAGAATATCAAGAGCAAGGCGTGTAGTTGAAAATGCTTTCGGACTGATCTCGGCTCGATTTCGTGTTCTTAGACGACCAATAGACTTACCTCCAGAGAAGTTTAAAAAAATTGTACTTGCAATATGTTCTTTGCATAATTTCTTACTGACCCAAAAAAGTTCGGCATATTTATATGCCCAAAATGGAATATTTGATACTGAAAATGATGGGAACGTTATCAATGGGAGTTGGAGAAATGGAGGTAATCCTATAGCTAATATGGTTCCTTTACAGACTACAAATGTTAGAAACCCATCGAAAACAGCCAAAGAAGTACGAGAACAATTTAAAAATTATTTTGTATCCAAACATGGTGAAGTCGCCTGGCAGTATAAATATATATAAACATAATACCATTTTATCTGCTTAATGTAATATATGTTTCTAATGCTGAAAAAATGTTTACTCACCGTATCCATAAAGTTTGCAGTGCTTTTGGTGCTCCCACAGCAACCCATCATGAACTGTAACGCATCATAAAATTCCCACTTACTTTTCCACAGTCTATCATCAGTTCCATCTCCACTTTTGGTTTTTTTTTAATTTTCCTTATCTCCGAATTCATTTGACACCTTAAATTATGCCATTTTATTCCAACTTCGGCTTCAGTGGTTTTTAACTGATCTGCTATATATTTTATAGCTTGGGCCTTTTTATCCCGATCTCTGTACTCATTCAATATGCAATTCCAAAGTTCTGGATGTGCCTCGTACATCCCAATTAGCTTGAGAGTAATTTCTTTGTCCCATTTCATAGCTGTTTGCTCATTTACACTTGGTGGGGAAGCCATGCTTTCAACTAATCTATTTAACTCATCGAATAGAGCGAAACAATGCGAGAGTGATCTAGAGAACTAGTCTCAGTACTGTGTCCACTACAACCCTACCTAGACTAACGTCGCGCTACCGAGAGTATTACGCCACACTCGCTAGATCAGTCTCAGTAATATGTACACTATAGACTTAGTCTAAAGCGACTCTAGCTAGCGCAAATCTCGGGGAAAAATCTATAGTGTACACGTACCATTACGCTACTACTTTGACTTTGGCATTCAACGAAACCTCACTTGATTCAGTCGACCACTTGCATTTTCCTCTGAATGTATAGAAGTTTACTACAGATATTAGCACTCCATGCTACAATTGTGTAAAATTATTAGTCCATATTATGGTGCATATCTTGAAATGGGGCGACTATCCGTTGTTATATAAGGTGTCTTTCATTCACACAGAAATTGCGATGGTTGAATGTCAGCGTTTCTTGGGTTATCCAAGAATAGACGGCGATTTTATGCAGAATATTTGTCTCAGTTGCAGAAATACACTCCAACTGTAACATTCTTTACAAATGGATGGTATTTCAACCGCGATGCAAAATTTCTCGGTTCTAAACGCGAGTTGTCGGTGTGGAAGTTCAGACAAATGTTAGAAAGGTTGATAAAGTATTTTCCTCTATTGACTCTTGTGAAGCTTTTACGATATACTGGGTAGTTGGAGTTAGTTTGATTAGACATGGACTAAACACTACAGTCGCTTAAACAAACGTAATAAGTTGACTTACTTTGTTAATCTTATTTTTGAACTGATAAGGTGAGTAGAACTGAGAAAAGTTAAAGTTAAGACTGTTTCATGATCTCTACACCCTATGGTCAAAAGAGCCATCGTATTGGCCAGTTTTGGATGTTCGAAGTTCGACACGGTTAGGATGGAAGGCCGAAGGCGGGTCTGCCTGTCAGGCTCATCGTTTGGCGGCATTGCAGTGAAGAGCTCTGTGGAGCAAAGCCCGTTGACATAGCGATAGAAGAGAGCCAGATCTTCGACGACCCGTTAGTGCGAAAGTATCTCGAAACTGTCCCTTAATCTAAGTGACCGATCAGCCGGAAAGGCCTCCCTTGAACAGTATGCATAATATAGTTGGAGCTGCATCGCCCCAAACATGTGAGCAGTACTCGATGCTAGGGCTTGTCTGGGCCTTGTATAGAGTGAGGAGACTAAGTATTGAAAAGTAGTTTTTAGCCCTAAACAAATAGCTTAGCTTTTTCCCAGCTGCTGCGATTGACAAGACTTGCTCGTACCACATCAAGTCCTTGGCGATCTTGTCTCCGAACAGCCGGAATGTACATCTCTGGTAGATCCCAACCATCCAATGAAAACGGATCACCGCTAGGGCGCTTCGTGTTAGTCTTGATGTAGTGCGTGGTTCATGATATAGTGGATCGCATATAAAACCTTGAATAGAAACAATGTGCTTACTACTGGAGCTGAATTTTCATATAGGGTGTTACAGAATGTTGTTAGGTAAATCTAAGGGTAGATCCAGCTTGTTAGAGCATGAAAAAATTTCATAAATGCCCCGGAACCACAAGACATTAGGTAATATGCAAGGGACATGGTGAACGCAAAATAATAGTTGCTTAGGTGACATTGAATTGACCTTGACTATGGCGTTGAATGTCAACTCAAGAATAAGGGGATTTACGGGATTTGTCTGAAAATAAAGTAAAAATAAATACCCAAAGGTAGCTGGAGCTATATATTCTAAAGCCACTGGCCTTCATGATCATCTGAAAAGGTGTCCAGTATACAAAAAATGGAGTCCCTCTAAGACCAGTAACGAGCTTTTTCAATAGTTTTCGAGTACTGTTATCTGGACAGACTGTTTTTGTTTTTGGGAAATAATATTATGATAGAGAATCAACACGGTTTTCGAAATGGGAAATCTACGGCAACATCAATTCACAGCTTCTACGGAACTCTTGTCGAAATGACTGAGACGGACGAGTGCCTTGTTTGGATCTTTTTTGGTCTCAACAGTGCATTTGACTGAGTCGATCATGAAGTGCTGTTGCAGAGAATATAATCAAATTCAAGCGAATAACCAAATGAAAATGGTATTTACCATTTTGGATTGGTATTTACCGATTCGTTCAAGCGAGTGTGGTTATCAGTTTGGTTATAAGATCCGTGACGTCATGAATCAGCTGTTATATGTCATAGTTATCACCGCAAAATTGTGGTATTTACCCAACTCAGGAGTAGTTTTATATTTCTGGTTATTAGGTATTTGAAATGTGGATTTTGCCGGGTATTGGATATTTTTGTTGTACTTCAGCTTCATTTTTGGGAAACTTGATACAGGTTGACTTCAGTTGTAGCATAAAGTAGAGCACTTTATTAGTTACACTCATTACTGTTGTTGGGGACACCTTAAATCTAGTTCCTATGCTTATCAAAGTATCTTGTGTAGCCTTATACCACAAGAATACTAAAACATGGCCATTTAAACTCACTGGATAATGTCCACCTGTACACGGTTTTTCCTATCATTTCTACTAAATCAATGAATGTTTTCTTTGGCATGCGGCAAAGTTTAGAGAATTGAAAGTCATCATAGCTACAAAGCCATGGTTCCATCATTAAAAATTATTTTCTGAAAAGAAAAACACATTTATCTCATTAATATTATGAAAGGTTTCTGTTTTAAATTTTCAACACACGGTCGTAGACGAAATAGCACCGATTATTAAGTGATAATAAAAATAATCAGGAATTATATACGCGCTTTTCTAAAATAAACAACTTGCAACAAAACCGCGGTTAAAACTAACGCGTTCAAGCGATTCGAGTAACTGACGTCATCAACCCGTGTGTCATCTTAAACCATATTATAACCGCGGTACATAACACAGAAATTTTGGTTATTCGCTTGGATTTGATTTATCAAAGTATTGCACAAATGGTCCATTATATCATTGGATAAGGTTTTCCTTAGAGAATAGGACTCAATTTGTGAGTATGGTCGATAATGGACTGAATGCGCCTATTAAGCGCGACATGGCTAACATCACCATAGGCCTCCCTCAGGGCTTTGTTGTAGGACCTGTGCTATTCGGCATATACTTAACTGACCTTGATTAGTGTTCATCTGAAGGTAGATTCATTCTACTTGAATTCTAAAAAAACATCAGTTCTCTAATTTCACAACGTCTAGGAGAAACATATAGCATTAAATATCACTTTTATTGGCCCCAGAATGCCCCTTGACACGTAAGTAAAATTCTTGGGCTTGTATCTAGATACAGGTATGAATTTCAAAGACCACTGTGTATATATATTGCATCAAAGATAAACTCCCAATCATATCTTATGTAAAATTTGCGATCGGTCCTTACTGAAACCAAGATATTATTATTATTTTGCTCAAGTTGAGACATGACTGAGGTATGCGCTATGCTTCTGGGGTTTGTCCTCAAGTATTTTTGACCTAGAAAAGAGTGGTTTGATGTACGATTGGAGTCAGTAGTAGACATTCTTGTAAAAAGTATCTTTAAGCATCTTAAGATTTATACGAAATCGTTGTGTATGCTGTTAATCTTTAAACTCGTACTCGACCAGACCAGCTAGAGGTTTAAATGTGTGTTTTGCTAAGTATATATCCGGAAATACTGGGTCCACGAACTTGAAATAGGCTACAAAATCATATTAAAGAGTGTGGACATAATTTTAAGAGAGAATTCTTTGTAAGTAAATGCTGTTATGCCGTCTCTGAATTTGTTGTTTTATGATTTATTTGTGTGTTTGCTTTGTTTGTTTTATGCATATATTTATTTTGTATTGTCCTGTTAATTTTTGCTCTGACGAATCCTATACATATATTGTGATGTATCACAGGATAATGAAGAATTTGAATAACTGTTATCTGCCCTGGGCTCCCCTACTACTTCATCATGACAAAGGTAGCTATAGCTTTTGAGATAGGGAACTCCAAAAATAGTGTGAAAGCGCTTGATCATTAGGTTATTTATTCAATTCACAAGCAGTAAATAATTTGATTTGTTTCAAGTTTGTGAACTGAGATGTCTTGAAAACGCACTGATCTTCAGTACCTATTGATATTTTACCAGTAATAAATTATTTGTTAGAGCTTCAAACGTGAAGTTTCACGCCCAAAACGTCAATTCCAGCAACGGACCTAGGAGTATTGTGTCATTTTTTTTCTCGTTACGATTAAATTCAACTGGCAAATTTGTGTACGATTTTTTTAAACCCATGGATGGTAATCTCAGTTATTTTGTCCTGTGTTTAACGCTTAACAGCTGATCATTCTATGGAGAGATATACATACTTAAATGTTTATTTTGTGATGTTTTCAAAAACATCAAAAACCTAAAAACAGATCATTGTGTAGTTTCCTATTGAAATACAAGTTTATTTTAAATCAACTTTTCACCAAAATTTTATGAATCACTTCGTTTCAAAAATACTGAAATATTCATGGAAGTATTTTTCCCGCTGCAAGAACAACATTTTACGTACTTTCTTTCTTTCAAATTTTGGCGTCAAGAGTTCGCCCACATTGCTTGGAACGACAACTAAACAGTTTGTCAGTGCTTTTTTATTCAAAGACTTATAGTGTATCTCCCCTCTGTCTAATATAAATAAGAAGGACGAAGCAAGTTCATCTAACAAGCGGAGCATCCCTTGCTTAAGTACTGGAAAATCATCGCTTACGCTAATGACTCGGGCATCGAACATTCAAACACCCATCAACAAACAAACAATCGTTCATCAGAGTAATTAGAAAGGTAGAAATCATTAGGGCAAAAACACAAAAACACTGCGTAGTAAAAAAGCGCCATGTAAAAAGATAAAGAAGCAAATTTGAGCGTCTCAGCGTGAAATTTTCTTGAGGACTTCCGCTTCAATGACCATAATGGATTCTTAATGAGGAGAGAGCTTAGAGAAGACCTTTTTGATTTCCGGCGCCTCTAAATAGCTTGTAACGGGATATTTTGAGTAATTCTTAAGACTAAGATGGAGTAAACAAGGTGATATACAAGTGTCGGATTCGTACAGTAATCAATGCAATGATCTGATAAACGTAGATATCAGACACGGCAGAGCCTATACCGGATGTCTCAAATTCGACTCTCACCATTGGGATTCTCGGAAACGGTAAGAGATACGAAGTTACCTTAATGGGCGGGCAAAGAGAGAGACGAGAAACGAGAAAAACCGAAATTCCCCAAAATCATTTTAGATTTCTTATAAAGTTAATTGTAG